TTGAACTATTAAGAACTCGTATGTTAACATATTAATGAGTTTTTATACAGTGCCTAAAGTGTGTGATACTCAAAATGTTTAAACTGTAATATTAACGTAAAATTTTTGGAGTTTAATTAGATTACTCAAAGTAGTCAAATGTTATCAACAAGCAATTTAGTTTGATTTTACCCAAAAAAAAAAAAATTGGAAGAGGAAAATCCCAATCCTATCAAAGAAAGAGAAAGGTCCCCAACTCCCAAACAAAACAAAAGCCAAGGTTTGATTAAAAAAAAAATAAAAAAATAAAAAAAATGCCAAAGGGGTTTTAAACCTAATCCGAATTCCAAGGGTTTTAGAAACTGCCAACGTATCTTCTTCGTTACCCTAAAACCCTAGCCATTTGAATGTAGTCTCTGAAATCCCCAATTCCACTTCCAATTCAAATGCTTCTTCTTCTTCACCAGTAAAGAGGAAAGGGAAAAGGGTCATGGCTGCACTGGCTCACGCCCTGCTCAGCGTTCCATCCCGTTGTGGTCTTTGCCGCGCCGTTAATCCCAAGGACAATTACAAGCTCTGCGTTTGGGGGTTTTCCAGAGCAATTGCTCGCTATGGAATCTCCATTTCTAGTGTTTCCACGAGGAAGAAGGATGGTGGTAATCTCACCGGCCCTTGGGCACTGAATGCAGCTGACGCCCTCATCGTCGTCCACAATGCTACAGCTCGCACCACTGTCGAAATCCCCGTTACCTGTTATCAGGTCACTGCTTCATTCCACTGATAAATTTATTATCTTTAATCTTTCTCTGTTTAGTGATAATTTGGTGAATTGGGTACTGATTTAGCTGTAATTTGTGGACTTTCTGTTGTTCAATCCTAAGTTTTACATGTAACACGTGTGACGAAAAGCGTGCTTGTACTTTTGTTTATGCTCTAGTATGAACTGTGTTTTGAATTTCAACCTGTCCATATAGGCTACTGTCATATATTTGTTCATCTGCCAGAAAGTTAATATATGCAAAAAGGGATACATGTTAGTTACCAGATGTTATGTTTGTGATTGTACAGTCTAATAGGCAAATGAACGGCGTTAGCTAAAATAATGAGCTTTGATTTTCTTTTTCTTTTTTTCAATCGTGTCATTGGATTTACAGATTGGATGTCTATTATTGTGCTGCCAATGATGAAATTATTTAGAGTTTTGAGATTCAGTATGCTCCTGTTATTTCACTTCTCTACCCGTTTTGTAAATGAATGTTTTGTCTGGCTGCACTTCTAACTCTGTTCATTCTTTTCCTCCCATTTCCCATATTGGTTCCGTATCTATAGTTTTCTATGCAAAAGAAAGAGAGCTTGAACAGTTAAAAATGCTCTGTCTTTCTAATAGTAGTTGTCAGAGTTCGTATACTATATGAAATTTGTGTATTGTTTACCTTTGTGAAGATGATTGAGAAATGCATTCCTTGCGCTAGCATATCCATATTTTCTGAAATTTCTTATCACTCTGCATTTAGCTTAATCCCAAATCAACTTGCAGCTTATTGGTGTTCCTGAACAAGCTGAAAAAGATGTGGTTGTTGAAGCAGTAATTGATTTGAAGAGTGCTAAAATTGATGAAGGTTACACCATGCATGCTATTAAATCTCGCAAGGTAGGGAGTAGGGAGTAGGGACTTGACAATGTTAATGTGTTGTTCGTCCAATCTTAAGAATTCATTTTTATTCCTTATAGCATGTGATAAAAGCCTTCTTCTTAGTTGTCTTTTTGGTTCCTTTACAGGACCTTCTAATGAACGTGAGAGAGAAGCTTATCTTTGAACCAGAATATGCTGGTAGTAAAAAGGAAAATATCCCGCCTAAATCCTCTCTTCATATCCCTTGGGCATGGCTGCCAGCTGCTCTTTGCCTCCTTCAAGAGGTTTGGCTTTTTTTTATACAATATACTTGGTTTAGTGTAGGCTTAGCTTTCACTTTTCAGCTTTCAGCTCTTTTTATTTTCTTTTTAATATATTGTTAAACTCTCATTTTTTTTTCTTTCTGATATTTATCATTATACTGGCACCCTGGTTTTTGTGTATGGCCCATCATTTGTTACAATTATCAAGTTTGATATTCTCCCCCTTCCCCTACCTAAATCAAAAAGGTTTTGAAAGATGGATACTATTGGATTTCTGTAATCCAGGTTGGGGAAGTAAAGCTTGTGCAAGATATTGGTCAGGCAGCTGTTCAACATCCAGATGCTAAGCCGTATACTCACGATCTTCTTCTTTCTATGGCACTAGCTGAGGTAAGGAAGGTCAGAAAATAGGTTAATATCTTGTACCATCTGTTTTGTTGTATGTCCTTTGCTTACCTTAAGTGTTTTATTGAAGTGTGCAACTGCAAAGATTGGTTTTGAGAAGACCAAGGTGTCCCAAGGATTTGAAGCTCTTGCTCGTGCTCAGTGTCTTCTAAGGAGTAAAAAATCTCTTGAGAAAATATCATTGTTATCTCAGGTAATGCTCACATCTTCTATAAGGCATTTCTCTGTTCAGTCTAATTTATCCAACTAATAAATTTCCCTAAAAGGAATAAAAGAGAGTATTTGCATGTTCTGTTCGGTCAACATCATCACTGGTAATACTGTTGTGTAGATCGACAAAGCTAAAGCTATATGTGAGTGTCTGATTGCATCAAAAGGTTCTGATCTGAAACTTGAGGAAGCTTTTTCTCTGTTCCTTCTTGGTCAGGTTTGTGCTTCTTTTTCCTCCCAATCAAATATTTTGCATTGTTTCGTAAGATATTTCTGGTATCATGCATAAGCTGTGAATTTTGGTTTCCTATTCAATGTGTTTTTTTTAAGTTCCCTCTCGTGTTTTCTCAATTCAATACTTGATAATATATTGGTTGCCAGGGTAGTGAGGCTGCAATTGTTGAGAAGCTTCAGAAGCTTGAAGTGGACAAAAATAAGTTAATACAATCTCTATGTAAACAAGGCAACCTCAAACAAGCCCTGCAGTTCCTTCCACACGAGCCTAACCCCTCCCAACAGACCTATGAGCTCTTACTACTCTCTTGCACTCACCATAAGTCTCTCTCTGATGGGCTTGACGTGCATCGTCACATTGTTGATGGTGGGTGGGACCAAGACCCTTTCCTGGCCACCAAACTCATAGAGATGTACTCAGCATTGGACTCTATTGATAATGCACGTGAAGTGTTTGATAAAACTCGTAAAAGAACTATTTATATGTGGAATGCACTCTTCAGAGCTCTTACATTGGCAGGTCATGGAACTGAGGTGCTAGATTTGTATCGACAAATGAATACAGTTGGGATTTCGTCAGATCGGTTTACATATACATATGTACTCAAAGCTTGTGTTGTTTCTGAGTGTTTGAGTTCACTCCTACAGAAGGGGAAGGAGATTCATGGACATATTTTGAAGAACGGATATGGGGCACATGTTCATGTTATGACCACTTTGTTGGATATGTATGCGAGGTTTGGGTGTGTTTTTTATGCTAGTAGTGTATTTGATCAGATGCAGATTAGAAATGTGGTTTCATGGAGTGCTATGATTGCATGCTATGCAAAGAATGGGAGGCCTTATGAAGCCTTGGAACTGTTTCGGGAAATGATACTTGATGCCCAAGATTTGTTTCCCAATCCTGTCACAATGGTTAGTGTGCTTCAAGCTTGTGCAGCTCTTACTGCTTTGGAGCAGGGGAGGTTCATTCATGGATATATCCTCAGAAGGGGTCTTGATTCAATCCTTCCAGTTATGAGTGCTCTTATCACAATGTATGCGAGATGCGGTAAGCTTGACTTGGGGGAACGAGTTTTCAGTTTGATGAATAAGAAGGATGTTGTTTCATGGAATTCCTTGATTTCTAGTTATGGCATTCATGGAAACGGAAAAAAGGCAATTCAAATTTTTGAAGACATGATCAATCATGGAGTTTCACCAAGTCGCATTTCATTCGTTAGTGTCTTGGGGGCTTGTAGTCACGCAGGTCTTGTTGAAGAGGGGAAGATATTATTTAATTCTATGGTTAAGGAACATGGATTATATCCCAGTGTTGAGCACTATGCTTGTATGGTGGATCTTCTCGGTCGTGCCAATCGGTTAGATGAAGCAGCTAAAGTAATAGATAATATGCGGATTGAGCCAGGAGCTAAAGTTTGGGGTGCTCTTCTTGGATCATGTAGAATACATTGTAACGTTGAGCTGGCAGAGAGAGCAAGCAGAAGGCTATTTGAGCTTGAGCCTAGGAATGCTGGGAACTATGTACTTCTAGCTGATATTTATGCTGAAGCCAAGTTGTGGGACGATGTAAAAAGAGTGAAGAAGCATTTAGAAGCTCGAGAACTCCAAAAGATCCCAGGTCGGAGTTGGATTGAAGTTAAAAGGAAGATATATTCATTCATTTCCGTTGATGAGTTTAACCCACAGATGGAGCAGCTCCATGCATTGTTGGCTGAATTGTCAGCAGAGATGAAGGATCAAGGATATAAGCCGCAGACCAAAGTTGTCCTCTATGATCTCGATGAGGAAGAGAAGGAACGAATAGTGTTAGGCCATAGTGAAAAGTTAGCGGTTGCATTTGGACTCATAAATACCAAAAGAGGGGAAACTATTAGGATTTCCAAGAACTTAAGGTTATGTGAAGATTGTCACTCTGTTACGAAGTTCATTTCCAAATTCGCCAATAGAGAGATTCTGGTTCGAGATGTGAATCGGTTTCACCATTTCCGTGACGGGGTTTGTTCATGTGGAGATTATTGGTAGTTGCAGGCAGATATTTTTTTCCTAATATCAAAAGGGGAGAATTTTGAGGTTTATAGAGTTCTTAAGGATGTATAGTGTTATACTAGGAAACACTTTTACACATTCTTTCAATAAACACTTTTTTCTGTTTTCTTATTCATGTCGGTTTGAAACTCTCTAGTTTGTATTCATATTTGTACGCAACTGGATTGGCATTCATAAATTAAAAAAAAATGCTACTCTTACCTTTTTTTTCACTTTTGTTAGGTCCAGAGTTCGATAATTCATTCCCCCAGTATCGCTTGTATAAAGTAAAAAAAAACTTCACATAATTAAACAACCTTTCTTAAATCGAGCCATCAGGAGTTGAAACAACGTTTGAACATTCATGCGCCTTTGCGGATAAATTTAGAAAATCCGAACATGAACAATATAATGTCCAACGTTTCCTGAGAGAGTGCAGAAACAAACACTTGAATTCAAAGCTGGAGGAAGCCCTTCTCTTTGAGGCTTTCAATAGTGTCCCTAAGACTTACTTCCAATGGAAGAAAATCAACTCCTAAACTTTTTGCTTTTTGCTTTGATATTTGAAAGCCTGGTTCACAAGGTTTGTCATCCTCACATCTGCCGAACAATGAAAGAAACAGATATTTTCCTTAGAAATTTACCTCATTCGGCCACCTTCGATCAATGACGTACTTAAGGAATATAAAAACTGGGAATTTGATCGAAAGCAATAATTTGAAGATCAAACCGCATAAACTTGAAGAAACAAAATACAAATTTGTATGAAAACTTACTTTGGGAAAAAAGTGGGATGGAGTTCATGTAAAATATTCAGAACCTTGGACACGGGTGTAACATGACCAACGAAACAATATCTGCCACTAGCCGAAGGGACTTCAAATGCTTGAACATGAGCAAAGGCAACATCTCTAACATCACTAGATATATAATTTGAACTGATTACATCGTGGATATCTGCATTGAAACGAAACAATTAAAACTTAATTGCTAGAAACACTAAATACTTGCATCACATGAATCATCTAATTTGCTAGGAAACGGCCTGTGAGCAACAATCATGATCTGCCCTAACTAGGGATGGGCAATGGTTATGCGGTTGGGTAACCGCGGTTAATTTACCCATAACCCTTTATGCTCTTACCCGCATAACCGTTTACCCGTTGGGTAATTGCCTAAACGGTTATACCCATACCCATAATCGTTTATAAACGGTTAACCATACTCATAACCGCATACTCATTTAACCGTAACCGTTGAATACCCGTTTACCCATTTATCCTTTTTAACCCGTTTATCTTTTTTTTTTTACCATTACCCTTTTTTCACCCGTCTACATGTTTTTTAACAACTTGAAAATTTAAAAAAAATTGTCATAATTTTTTTTTGACAATTAAACACCGTTATAGGTACATTCATCATACATTTCCATATTTTAAATTTTTAAGTCCTTATACCATTCCAACAATTGAAATAATAGTTTACGGACGATATTTTTAAATGTTACCAATGAAGGTAAATATAATATTTGCTAAGTATTATTGGGTTACAAAAATTGTTTAGAAGACATTTCTGTCAAAACATTTCTGTCAATTTCACGGTTACCCACAAGAAATTTAAATTAATTTGGCCAATTCCTTGATGATGAGAATCATCATTCCTGTAGTAGTGTTATTGAGAGAAAGACCGATGAATTCCTTGCTAATTTATTGGGTGCTAAGTATTATTGGATCGAGAACATGGTTTGTGTTAGTTTTACATATATAAAATAAATGGGTAAACGGTTACCCGTTTATAACCGTGGTTAATACCCATAACCGCCTATTTAAATTTCGTGGGTAAACAGTTATACCCATAACCGTTTATTTATCTAAACGGTTATTCATAACCGTAACCGTTTAATTTAAATGCCCATAACCAATGGGTATTTGTCCATCCCCAGCCCTAACCAAGAAAGAGAGAAAAAAATCCGGTTGTGGAAGTGTACCATTTTTGAGATTTAGAATCATCTTCACAGTGAGATTAAGAGTTGGCTGTAGGAGCGGACCAATCACATATGATGGGTTTATTGTAACCAAGTTAATCCCATTTTCTTTGGAAAATTTCCAAGCAGCCTCCTCAGCTATAGTTTTTGAAAGAAAATACCATTCCTGCACATAATTAAACAATGAGAGGTAAAAACTTGGAGGAAAATAACACGTATGTATGGGAACACACAAACGTACCTTCAACTGCGCACAAACAGCTTGATCCGAATACCATGTTTCGTCAACTACCACATCAGGGTTCAAAGGTCTTCCATTCACTATGACTGCAGCCATAGAAGATGTTAAAACCACTCTCTTGACAGTAGTAAACTTTACGCACGATTTTAGAACATTGAGTGTTCCCTTCACTGCAGGGTCAATTAGTTCTGCCTGAGACGCAGAACGAAAGAATCGTTTCAGTGTTTACATACAGAATAAGTATACTGAAGAGAGAGAGAGAGAGAGAGAGAGAGTCCGTATCACTGCGTAACCTAGAAACTTAATAAAGAATTTTATGGCCAAAACACACTTATAGTCCTCCTAATTTGCTAGGGTTTCCAATTTGATCACATGCTAACACTTACCATCCATTTGTACCATCATTGTATCATCTCTCTAATAGAGGTAGAATCCATCAACACATATGGGTCTCATCTATAATATAGAGATAATACAAAGAGATAATAAGAATATCATTTTCGTATATGAACGTAAAAGGATGAAGTACCTGCGGATCAGTGGCTGAAAATTGTACAGGTGATGCTGTATGAAAAACACCTTCACATCCATCGACTGCAGCGTCGAAAGATCCTTCTTCTAATAAATTTGCTTTGAACAATTGAAGCCTTTCTTTTGCTCCATCAAGTGAGAGCAGGTGTTCTGTTTTCTTTGAATCATCTGCATGCATACACAAAACATTCCAAAATATGTCCTTCAAATAACCAATTGCCATTCAGCACTTATAAAAATATTATATTCCTAAAAATACTTTTCCTTAATGTAAATAATATTGTTTATTCAAAAAAAAAATATTCATCTAATAATTTGTGATTCAGAAAAAAAAAAAAAAAAAGAAAAGAAAGGAACGTGTTTTGTGCCCTACCCATAGCATACTTTTTACCCCTTCCTTGCTAACTCCGCTTTTACACAAGGAAAATGATTTTCACATATTTTTTTTTATATTTTGCATATTCAAATTTATTTCTCTCCTTAATTCCCTTTTGATATATTTAATCTAAAAATTAAAAATAAATAAGTGTACGAGATGAGAAAAAGGTGTGCAAGAGTCATTTTTCAACTTACAAAATTACCTTCTACTTTCTAGGGTATACTCTACAATGTGGTTTTACGACTTCGAAATACTTTATTTCTCAAAGTTTTTTGAAAGATCGTCCATGCAGAAGATTCAGTAAAATTGGAAATCGACGCGTCAAGTGTAATCGAATAAATAGGTGAGCACATCATTTTCATTTAAAAAAACTCTTAAATGATTATGACAAAGGCTGAATAAAATAATGAATCACTAAATCATTTTATCACTAAATCATTTTATATGAAACCTTAGGCTATCTCCAATTGGGCCATAGGGCCATAGGATAACCCTTTTTGACACAAAATTAATCTCCAATAGAGGTCTGGGCTAAAAAACCTTGGGACCCATCGGGCCAAAATCCAGCCATATGACCAGCAGGCTAGCCATTCTTAGCTAGCCAACCCATTCAGTTGGGCCCAGCTGATTTTTTTTTAAGATGAAATCTGAAAAAAAAAAATTAAAATTCTAATTTTTTTCCTATAAATACCTAAGACATTTCTACACAATTTCTCACATTATTTTCACCATTCCATACTATTTTACCTCATTTTATTTCAATTCTTCACATTCTATTCACCTCAAACACTTTTTTCATACACACCCCTCTTTTACATCTTCCAATAATTTTTCCTTTAATTTTTTCACTAATTTTCAAATGGTCACATCTTCAAGTGGCACTCAAAATATGTTCGAAAACCTTATTAATATGGTAATTTAATTCAATTAACTAATAAAATTAAAGAATAAACCTAAAATAATAAATTATTGAGGGGCTATTTGTATAGCCCCTTCATTTAAAGATGGTATATAAATATGGTTTGATACTGTTCATTAAAAAATAATTTCTTGCGAGGCTATAATCTGGACCGGGGGGGGGGGGGGGCTAAACATAGCCCCTTTGGTTGGAGATGGCCTTAGGTCTTTCACACTAGGCCGAAAAAAAATGTTTGATACTAATATATTGAGTTTATATAAGAATTACATTTTTACAATGAGCCAGAAAATGTGAATGTGATACTTATATTGAACGCATAAGTTTAATATTTTAAACTCATGAATGAGATACTTATAAACTAGTAAGTTCTAAAATATGACTCTTACAATTATTGAACTCACACTAGTATTATAAATATCAAACTTAAATTATCTAATTCTTATGTTTTTCTTTTTTTTTAACAAAAATAACTAATCCTCAGTCAAACTATTGTATAAAGCATTTTTTAGAATAAACAAACCCAACTTGCATTTCATGGCACTATGGGTGCATAAATTTTTTATTATGCCCGGAATACGGATGGTACAACACTATATTGACACATGATATACTACCGGTGTTCCATACACATTAAAAATCTGTTGAAAGGATGACTGGGTCGGTCTAAAAGACATTATATTAAATATTGTATATTGGTACTGCCATAATTCTAGGACACTTCCCAAATTCAATCCATGTCTAGCTTTCTTCGGAATTCAAAATTTCTTATATACGTACGGCATGTCCGAAACTCAAAAAATGGGGATCGATTTTCAGTTGAAACTTGAAAATACAAGTCTACAGTTCAACTTCAAGTCAAGAGTAAAATGATAATACAAGTTCATTGTTGTGACTTGTAAGTTTGTAACAAACATATATTTTACCACGCTGAATAGTACGTCCAAATTTTGTTAAAAAAATTTGAATTTTCCTTAGAAAAGCATTGATAAGTGTCACAGGTGCACTCTTGATCTGTTGGAATCACTTTAGGCCATAAATTTGTCAATAAAAAAAACCCCAGAATTTAAAGGATGAAACTTATTGAAACAACTGATGTGTGTGTATATATATAATATGAGTAATTTTATTAAGAAAGAAACTAAGAAAATGGTAGGGAGTGAGATATATATACAGTATACTGACTTGGTTCACGCACAGTGGCTTTGACAATATAACCTCGTTCCAGTAAGAGCTTCACCAGCCATGCTGCTATGTAACCAGAGGCTCCTGTTACACACACCACCTTCCTCATCCCTCTCTCTTGATCTCTCTCTCTCTCTTCTCTGTGAAAGCTCAGAAAAAAGCTTTATATTTAGAGTTGCCAGAGTTGGTGTTTTCATGGTGAGGTGAGGTGAGCGATCAGAACGGTCAATAAAGGAAATGTCAGCTAAACACAATGATATTATTGGTCATGTTTATCGTGTTACTTTGTTATGAAAAAGATTCTACTTCGTGACCGGCCACATAGGGCCCCCAGTGGGGCCCTTTAAAAAAAAAAACTACATATAAATTTATTACAAATTTTGTGTCTGTTTAAATAAGAAGTTTAAAAACTTTGTCTTTGTCAAAATATAATAATCCATTGCCGCACAAAACAAGTTTTTCAAAATTAAAGTTGATCAAATCTTATCTTCGATGAATTATATAACAAGAAAAAATGAATGGCTTTAGCTGTTTTATAATTGAAAAAGAAGTGGTTGAAAAATTAGATTATGTAAAATATAATTAGTACATTTGCGTCTAAAAATGCGAAATGTGTAATGTTTAAGTAATGTTTGATATCATTTTTCTTTTGATATTAATTTTTAATGATATCTAATGTAAAAGTAGACTTTTTAATGCATTTAGTGAATTTTTGTTATTAATGTACAAACGATTAGGAGTTAGAAAATTCTAAGATCCTATTTTAAAAGCTCGATAAGACCCTCAAATTCCGAAGGCTAGCCTTAGACTAATTGGAAAAGAAAAAGCAGTCGTTGATTCTGAATAACATGAAAACAAAATATTTAGAGAATTTAATATTGACACACCTAAACAACTAGTACTCGTCTCTTGTGAAATATATAAAATAAATTGCATGCCTGCAGCATGATGATTATTTTAGAATGGCAATTACAAATTTCTTATAAAAATAAAGAGTGAATATTTGTTTACAATCTTATTGTTCATCGTTATATAGTTTTAATTTTAAAATTTGTGTAGTAAATAAATTAAATCAAACTCATTCAATTATAAATTAATGAATATATAATGAGCAAGCCGTCACTTTAGGCTGATGAGGAAAATGTTTAAAAAAAATATAAAAGAGAAATTGCATGCCTGATGATTTATTTATTTATTTATTTTTTGTTGAAGACCTTTTTCTAAAGGAGTTGAGCACAAAATCTAGGGTGCAAACATAAATTTTCTTTGTCGACTGCTACAAACCCTCTGAGAGTTTTATATTTTATTTATTTTAGTTTAAGACCACAAAATTCTAGAGTGTTTTGATGCTAATATGCATAGTATTAATAAACAAAAAGAATGTTATGATATGATTAGATTGGTAACTCCATGTGTTCATATTACAATCAACGTTGTGAGTGAAGCAGATTTTGGACTCTCATATTGAGTGGAACCTACTACTGTCCTATACAAGAATGGTATAATATCTAATATTATAACCACATAGTGTTTCTAAATTAGAAAAGACTAATCACTTAATATGATCTCTTCTTAGCCAACACCTTCTTTAAGAAGAGAGAAGAACATGTGATCACCTACAAGAGTGGGTCGTCAAAAACACAAATAGATTTTCTTCTAATGAGGAAAGGGGATCGTATAACTTGTAAGGATTGCAAAGTTATACCAGGAGAGAGCGTGGCTAATCAACATCGCTTGTTGGTGATGGATGTACATATCAAAAGAGTAAGACAAAAGAACAAGACTTGGAAGTGCCCAAGGACTAGATGGTGGAATCTAAAAGAAGAAAAACAAGCCATTTTTAAAGAGAAGGTAATCACCCAATGTGTGTGGGATAGAGAGGGGGAAGCTAGCCAAATGTGGGATTCCATGGCTAGTTGTATCCGAAAAGTAGCAAAAAGAGGTATTAGGAGAGTCCAAGGGCTTTGCCCCACACCAAAATGAATCTTGGTGGTGGAATGAGGAGGAGGTACAAACAAAGGTGAAGGCTAAGAAGGAATGTTGTAAAGCCTTATACAAGGAGAGGACCGATGAAAATGGTGAAAGGTATAGAAAAGCGAAGCAAGAGGCGAAGAAAGCTGTCAGAGAAGCTAAGTTAGCGGCTTACGACGATATGTATAAACGACTAGATACCAAAGAAGGAGAGTTGGATATCTATAAACTATCTAGAGCAAGGGAAAAGAAGACAAGGGACCTAAACCAAGTGAGGTGCATCAATGATGAGGATGGAAAGGTTCTTGCTACAGAGAACGCGGTTAAAGATAGATGGAGAGGTTATTTTCATAATCTTTTTAATGAAGGACATGAAATGAGTGCTTCTTTAGGGGAGTTGAGTAACTCAGAAGAGTGTAGAAACTACTCTTTTTATCGTCGAATCCGGAAGGAAGAAGTGGTTGTAGCTTTGAAAAAGATGAAGCATAAAAAAGCAATAGGCCCAGACGATATACCAATCGAAGTGTGGAAACTTTTTGGGAGAGACAGGTATAACATGGCTCACTAACCTTTTCAATAGGATTTTGAAAACGAAGAAGATGCCAAATGAGTGGCGAACGAGCACTTTGGTGCCTATCTACAAGAATAAGGGCGACGTACAAAATTGCATGAACTATAGGGGTATTAAGCTAATGAGTCATACAATGAAGCTCTGGGAGAGAGTCATTGAGCATAGATTGAGGCAAGAGACACGGGTTTCGGACAACCAATTCGGGTTCATGCCAGGGCGCTCAACCATGGAGGCAATCTATCTCTTACGAAGATTGATGGAAAGATATACAGATGGGAAAAAGGATTTACACATGGTCTTTATAGATTTGGAAAAAGCGTATGATAGGGTCCCAAGAGACATTCTTTGGAGGATTTTAGAGAAGAAAGGAGTACGAGTAGCATATATCCAAGCTATAAAGGATATGTATGAAGGAGCAAAGACTGCCGTAAGAACTCATGAAGGACAAACCGAAAGCTTTCCCATAACTGTAGGATTACATCAAGGCTCATCCTTAAGTCCTTACCTTTTTGCGTTGGTAATGGATGAGTTAACAAGACATATTCAAGATGATATTCCTTGGTGTATGTTTTTCGCAGACGATATAGTGTTGATAGATGAAACTCAGGAAGGGGTAAATGCAAAGCTTAACCTTTGGAGAGAAGTGTTGGAATCTAAAGGTCTTCGCCTAAGCCGATCAAAGACAGAATATATGGAGTGCAAGTTCAGTGCAAATGGAGGCCAAAACGAGGTAGGGGTGAGGATCGGAGATCAAGAAATACCAAAGAGCGACCGTTTTCGTTACCTAGGATCTATCTTGCAAAAGAACGGAGAATTAGATGGAGATCTCAACCATAGAATACAAGCTGGATGGATGAAGTGGAAGAGTGCATCCGGCGTGTTGTGTGACCGCCGTATGCCACTGAAGCTCAAGGGAAAATTTTATAGGACGGCAATAAGGCCGGCGATGCTGTATGGCACAGAATGTTGGGCGGTGAAACATCAACACGTACACAAAATGGGTGTAGCGGAGATGAGGATGCTTCGTTGGATGTGCGGGCACACGAGAAAGGATAAGATTAGGAATGAGGATATCCGGGGTAAAGTAGGAGTAGCCGAAATTGAAGGAAAGATGAGAGAAAATCGGTTACGGTGGTTTGGACATGTGCAAAGAAGGCCTACTGACGCTCCGATTAGAAGATGCGACTATGGGACAGAGGTTCAGGGCCGAAGGGGTAGAGGAAGACCTAGGAAAACTTTGGAAGAGACTCTAAGAAAAGACTTAGAGTACTTGGATCTAACGAAGGACATGACACAGGATCGAGCACAATGGCGTTCTAAGATTCATATAGCCGATCCTACTCAGTGACTTGGATTTTCCAAGTCCCCAACCGAGAAGTTTTCCTCACTCGGGAAATTAAGGGAACACTACCCCAACCTACATGCTCCACTCAGAAAGCTTCAACATACAAGCTTCAACAAAAGAAAATTCAAAGAACTTAACGAAGAAGGCTTTGGTGTATTTAACACAATACGTTGAAATGAAGGAAAGCTTATTTATTGATATCCCCAATAAGCTACAAATATGTACATATACATGAGTCAAAATAAACACACAAGAGGGAGCCTTCACAAAGGTTGCTTAGGAGAAGTCTCAGCAGTCGGTAGAGCCCCAGAAAGAGAAGGCACTGGAGGGGGATCATTTGGAGCTTCAGTACTGGACAGAACCCTAGAAGGAGGAGGCATCAGAGGTTGATCATTTGGAGCTTCATTACGCGGTACAGCCCCAGAAGACGAAGGCAATAAATGCCTTTGGAACAAACCCACAAATCTCTGATGATCAAGTAAAACCTGACCATCAGTTTCCTTCATCTGGTCAAGCTTCCTCTTCATGTTTGTAGCATAGTCATGTGCGAGCCGGTGCAACTGTTTATTCTCATGCTTGAGCCCTCTAATCTCCTGTTTGAGACTCATCACTTCAGCCGCCAATGATTCAACTTGGCGGGTTCGAGCAAATAGGCGTTGGGCCATATTAGACACAGAACCTGCACACTGAACACTGAGAGCCAGCGAATCCTTAACAGCTAACTCATCAGACCGTTTGGAAAGTAGTCTGTTATCTTTGGGAGTGAGAAGGTTCCTGGCCACCACCGCAGCGGTCATATCATTCTTCATCACGGAATCCCCAACGGTAAGAGGACCAGTAGGGGAGACGAAGGATGGGCGCCATATGTTGTCTGGAGAAGGCGGGGCTGCCTCTTCAACAAGGTTCAAGTCAAAACGACGGTCGGAGGGGGCCAGACATTTTCAAAGGTGTTGAAGAGAGAAGAGGTCGGACAAATCAAGATCTTAAAAGTGCAAGAATGAAGCTTCTACTGGTGGAGATTCAAGTGTGATTTGGAACTTAATGCCAGCCCCTATAAAAATCTGCACTCGACGGAGCTTCAGAAATCGAAGAGGCGCCTGCTCAGAAATCGAAGAGGCGTTTGTTTTCTCAAAAGCTGGGCTGCTTAGAGATCACGAGGGTTGATCTCAGAAATCGAAGAGGCGTTTGCTTTCTCAAAAGTTGGGCTGCTCAAAGACCACGAATGCCGATCTCAGAAATCGAAGAGGCGCTCGCTTTCTCAAAAGCTGGGCTCCCCAGAGACCACGAGGGCCG